GCAAACTTTCATGAGTGCATTTATATTTATTTTAAGGTTAGTTTACTCTAAACGGTTTTTTTAGTTGTGAGATATGATTTCCTTGTTGATAACAAGTAAATTATAATAAACAGACTGATTTTTTAACTTAATTTTATTAAATAAAAAAATTTAATTAGCAAACTCAATAAGCTCAAAATAAATAGGAAAGTTTCTGAAAAATCTTGGAATTTTGTAATAAAAACCATCTTGGCCCTAAATGTTATCTAAAAACTATCAACTATGTAAAGTTTCCAATCCCCACAAAATAAAGTCTCTGTGAATTTTATATAGTTATATTTTGATTTCAACTCCCATTTATTAAAATTTTTTTGCAAAGCAAAGTCCTTATTTGACTAATTGGATTGATTGTAGAAAACTTTTTTCTAATGAAAAGAAAACAATTTAATAAAAAACTAGTAATATATATATTCTGATACCACAAAAATGTTTTTAGCCATTTGTAGCTATGAAAATAGCTGTTTTAAAAATTGAGATAATATCAGATAATTGTTTTCAATTGTCAAATGTGAAATTTACATATTATTGATTATATATATATACTTATTAATATACATATTAATAAGTACTCTTCTTTTTTAGTGAAGTTCCCAGTGACTTAGACTTGGGTTGTTGAACTTTAGTTTTGTAAGCCTGTAGTTTATCCTTGACATAAGAAAATGTCCTTGCTTTCACATACAAATTCAAGATGTCTTCAAGAACATTTAAACAAACTTCTTTAGTAACAAAGAAGTTAATAAAGAAGTTTGTTATTATCAGTTTCACTTCTAATTCTTGAAAAATTAGATAAAACAGTTGTACCTTTAAGAAGTGAGGATAGAATATCTTTGCAGTCAATTATACTGATAGACTTACTAACCATTTTTTTAAAGGTTGTTTCAGCGGTAGTAAAAATACAAATTGCCTCAATTTTCATTTTCCACAAGCTTGATCTGTTACGCGTGTTAACAAGTTTGTGTTCAGGCAAATCATCGCTTCCTTTTTACAAAATTGACAGGAAAGTGTTATTTGTGGAATATCTGAAGCATGTTGTTCTTCAGCAACGTCATTTAACAAATCCTGGTCATTAACTTAAAAAATAGAATCACACTCGTCTTAATGCAACTCAAAAATAGTCTCAAAATTATTCAAATCTTTTGAACTTTCAGCCATCATAAAAGTTTGTTTGCACAACAGTTGCAGTTGCAGCAAGAATGTCTATTTTATTACAAAATGATGAAGCCTTTGTACAGAAACAGTTTTACCTAAGATTGCATAATTAATAATAAGTTTTTTGGTAATGGTTATGGAGATGGTGTTTTTGTTACAAATAGTTAGCTGGACATGCTTAGTAATGCACACTAAGTTGTTCATTATTTGCTAACAACTCTGGGTATTATCTTGATAGTTCTGGTATTGTACAGATTGTAGTTCTTGTGGTAGATCTTTTCAATTAGTAGTTTGAATTAGTAGTTAGATTCAAACTCTGGAAGCTCTACTGTTATTTTTTTCAAAACTCTATTTCTTGTGACATATAAACAATTTATCATATTAAAAAATTTTTAAAATGTTACATTAAATTTATTTATTAAATATAAAAATAAAATGATAGAAAATAAATTTTTTTTAATAGTAGTAGTAAAAAATTAGTTAAATAATATTTAACTCTCTTTGCGCTAATTAATATTATTGCAGTAATTTAAAAAAGTTAATATTTTTAAAAAATAAAAAAAATAATGAAAATTTTATTATGATAAATTCATGTTAGGCTAATGTATTTAAAGCAAGACAAGTTGTATATATATATATATATATATATATATATATATATATATATATATATATATATATATATATATATATATATATATATATATATATATATATATATATATATATATATATATATATATATATATGTATATATATGTATATATATATATATATATATATATATATATATATATATATATATATATATATATATATATATATATATATATATATATATATATATATATATATATATATCTATATATATCTTTCATACGAAGAAAGGTTAATCAAACTGAATTTAACAACTCTAACCGAAAGAAGAAAACGTGGTGATTTAATTCAATTCTATAAATATTTCCATCATATTGAAGATATCTCATGGCAAAATTTTGTGAATTGTTATTGTTGTTTGGACCAGCTGCTAATACAAGATGTTATCAATTTAAACACAGTTTAAGCACTCAACAGGTCAAAAATCAAATTCGAAAACATTTCTTTACAAACCGAAATGTAAAGACATGGAATATTTTACCACAGTCAACCATTGAAGCATTAGGGGTGAACAATTTCAATAGCAAATAAACAAATTATCTAGTATTATGTCAACTACTTACTAAACTTCTAGAAACAACATAAATAACTATTATTTGTTGTTTATATTGTTAATTATAAAATTACTATTGTTAAAGGCTGTCATAGATTTAATATCGCATTAAGTTTCAACAGCAATAATAATAATTATTATTACTAAGTAAAACTAAAAAATGGGTTATAAGGTATTAAAACAAGTAAAACTAATATATAGGTTTCTCTCTGCAATTGTTACCTTTACCCTCCCTCCTTCCCACTTATATTTTTTTGTTTGTTTGGGAGCGTAGTTATGTCACCTACAACTTGGCGTCTGCCCCTGAATGCTCATTGATAGTTTATAATTTTATAAATTATCAATGAGGATTCAATTTATAAATAGATTGATAGTTTTAATTTTATTTAAGATTAAATTCTTTGCAATGACTTTGCATTAACAAGAAAAAGCTACAAAAAAAAAAAAAATAAGTAAAAAAAGAAAAAAATAACGTACAGTTAGAAGAGAAAATGTTCTCAGATTTATACAATAATTTTAAATAATAAACTTATATCTCTGATTTTAATGAGCAGAGATAAAAAATAATTTTTTATCTCTGCTCATTAAAATCGTTTTAAAAACTGTTAATATTAGTTAGTTATTACTAAAGTTATTAACTCTTGTGTGCAATTGCTATTTAAACTCGGTACTTCGTACTAATTGGTTTTATAATTGTTATATAACTATTATAAATTGCTCTATATTTTTTTTATGAAACTCTACTATAAAATTACTGTTATTTAAAACGAGATTTTACAAAATGTATATATTTTTAAAAATCTTATTAAAGAAAATTTAAATTTATCTATTAATCAGTCTATTTTTTATAATAGAATAATTATATTTATAGCAAAAAATAGAGTTAAAAAGTGTTGAAAAAAGTTAAAATTTGCAGTTTGCAGCAAAAATATTACAGAAAAATAAAATGATTTAAAGAAAAAAGTGAATAACTAGAGTTAAAGGAAAAAAATGTTCTTAGTTAAATATAGCACTTATTATATTTCTTTATATTATTATAAAAATAATGTATAATATATTTTTGTTAAAATAATAATAATCTAAGAACTTCAATCATTCATAAAGAAAATATTTTTAACCACCAGTAAAATGAACATAACCTAAATGAATGAAGCAAAAAAAAATTGGATATAGTTAATGTCATACATTCGTCAACAAAGCAAATTGAAATAGCATTTTGTAAACAAAGACAATTTTTGAAATTTAAATAATTTTATGAAGTTTTATATGGATATTTCAAATTACATCAATATGAATTATGAATATATGGATTTTTCAATTTACATCATAGTTGTTTGTAAAAAATTGTTTTCAAAACTCTGAAATGCTTTTAACCAGTAAGAACCCATTGCTGGTTGAAAACATAGTCATAATAGTAATTTTAGTCATTACGATCAAAATAGCAATTTAGGTCACTTCGGACAGCCATTGACTGGCCATTATTTTCTATGCTATATATATATATATATATATATATATATATATATATATATATATATATATATATATATATATATATATATATATATATATATATATATATATATATTTATATATATATACATATACATATACATATATATATATATATATATATATATATATATATATATATATATATATATATATATATATATATATATATATATATATATATATATATATATATATATATATATATATATATATATATATATATATATGTATATATATATATAGTTCTTGGAATTAGGGTCAGCATTCAACAATGTCAAATGCCATTTCTAATTTTAAAGTACCTTTAAATTTGTAATGTAAAATATGTGTTTGTTGAGTAAATATATTTTTAAAATGCTAAAAACTTCAATAAAATATAAAAATAAGTTTTTTACTATCTCAGTGATTAGAGCCAATTCTACTTAAACCCTAAAAATTGTTGTTAAAATTTAAATGTTACATGTTGTGCTAAATGGGCAATAGCAAACAACTGTTAATAATAATTTAACAACCAAAGTTTTTTATTAATATTATTTCATATTTGAATCTGTATATTAAGTTTGAAAAATATATAATTTTTTTTTTGTTGAAACTACATTTTTGACAATCGGATCCAAATTGGAGATTTTATAATGTTACTAGGCCTGGGATGCAGAACTTTTTTAAAACATTTTTATTTATTTCTAGTATATTGAAAAAAAATCGAATATTTTAACCATGTACTTTTTCTGAAACTTATTTATTTAGAATACTAAAAATTCTGGAGTCTAGGTCTGTTTAACGGCTTTTTATTTTTTTAAATGCTGACTGAACACTTTCAAAATCTAGGTTCAAGGTATGCATACCTAGTAAGTTTTGAACCTAGATTTTGTAAGTGCTTTGTCAGCAAAAAAAAAAAAAAAAAATTAAAGAGGTTTAGACTTTTTGTATAAAAAGTATACCTTTTGTGCTGATTTTTTTTTGCCTATGTTCATTAACTTGTATAAGAGTGTTGTTCTCAAAAATATCCTTATGTTCACTATATGTTTAGTTTCTAATTTCTTATAGAGTTTATATTTAGTTATTATTTTTTTGTTAATTGTTTTAGTTTTATGGGGAAAATGGAGTAGTTGGACTGGATGTAACGAGTTTAATAGGTTTATGAACAGATCAAGGGAGTGTAAAGTTTTAAATACTGAGGAGATATGTTTTGGAAGTAATTCAGAAGTAATGGAATGTCCAGGTAATAACGTTTTTACTAAAAATAGTTATATGAAACAATATACTTTAAGTATATTGTAAAATGTAAGTGTGTGTATATCTATCTATCTATCTATCTATATATGTATATATATATATATATATATATATATATATATATATATATATATATATATATATTATATATATGTATATATATATATATATATATATATATATATATATATATATATATATATATATATATATATATATATATATATATATATATATATATATATACATTCCAATCTATTAAATTGTGTGTATATATATATATATATATATATATATATATATATATATATATATATATACACCCAATTTAATAGATTGGAATGATTTTTGTTTTTTAAATTAAGAAAACAAAACATACTGAATGTTTATTTTTTATTTTTTTATTTTTTACATACACCAAATGACAAATTGGTAGAACATGTAAGTAGTGTTGCTAGATTGACTGACAAATAAGTACAACATGCCAGGAGTATTGCTACATTGACTGATAAATAGATAGAACATGCTAGAAGTGTTGCTACATCGACTGACATATAGGAAGAACATGTAATGAGGGCTGCTAAAATAACTGGCATATAGGTAAAACATGTGAGGAGTGCTGCTACATCAAATAAGCATATTGGTTTGGGCAGGCAACCTATCAATTTTTTCTGGAAACTTTTTTTTTCTGGAGATTATTTTTTTTTGAACATTTCCAGAATTTTAGATGTTTCTATAGAGTTTCATTTTTTCTCGATATCCAAATGATTTTCTTCAATCATCAAATAGTTAAAACAGTAAAAGTTTATCAGTTATTCTAAATTTAGGTTAGGCATTATTTGTATGCGTGTAGAACTAATCTTTTTTTTATCTATACACTTATATTTATTATTAATTATTTTGACCAATTCACCAAAAAATCTAGTTTATTTGAATTAAATAATTATTTTATATTAATCATATTAATTTATATAGTCTATTTAAATAAGAATTGAAATATTTTTATTTTTTATATAAGAATGTCTGCCAAAACCTTAACCATCAGTTGATGTATGTATTCTACAATATACCGATCCCTATTTTAGTCAGTTGATCTATGTGCACTCCACAAGTGCATTGATGCACTTTTTCTATGAAACTTTAAAACAAATATTATAAACAACAATAGTAGTTAAAAAACATAACTACTTCAAAACAAAAATCACAATAAGAAAAAAAAGTTAAAATTAAAAAATAAAAGTTTTCTATGGAGGCAACCTTGCCAGCTGTGTTCCTTAAATTTATCATTGTAGCATCCAGAGCATTATGCTGTTTTACTAATTTGAAAAATTAAATTATTTAAGGGTTTTTCCATAAAAATTAATAATGGTAATATTATGTGCATAATGATAATTAAACACACAATTTAATAGATTAGAGTGTATATATATATATATATATATATATATATATATATATATATATATATATATATATATGTATATATATATGTATATATATATATACATATATATATATATATATATATATATATATATATATATATATATATATATATATATATATATATATATATATATATATATATATATATTAATATATATATATATATATATATATTATTACACATTTATTAGTATATAACAATTTCCATGTACTAATAATGAATTTCCTTTCAAACACATGAGTAATAAGCCACTGCCTACAAGATGTTTTTTTTTTAAATCATAAAAAGTCACACAGGCATTTGTGTATTGCAATGTTAGTAACACAAAACAATCACTTTTTTTTTAAAGTTGTATTCTCTTTGGGAAATTGAATTGAATAATCACATTTTTTTCCATTTTCAGCTATTTTGATATGTTTTGTAGCTTATTTTATAGATGTCTAAAAAGCCGATTTTCTACTTCTGGGGGCCCGGATGCAACACATTTTGGTGGCATACAGATATAAGATAAAAAACAGAACAATCAAAGATTTCAAAAACACATCAAAAACTAAGATTTACCAAAAAATATAATAAGTTTAATCCAAACGTATTTTATTCTTTATAAATAATTATTAAGTTATTTACATAAAAAAAAGTTTTACTGAGAAGTTCATGACCGTTTGGAGGCCCTTATATTGTGGTGTCTTGGTGCATTTCCCCCACCGCACCCCTTTCCCCTCCTAGAAAAATGGTTCTGGAGGCATGTTTGGCATGTCAATTATAAATTGTTTGGCATGTCAATTATAAAGAGTTTTATATTTGATTCAATAGCCTTTCTCAGATTTTCAGACGTTATGCTAAGAGTTGTTGGGGGTTCAACCTGAATATCATCAACAAAAACAAGATAGTCCCCAAGAATCAG